TTATAAAACGCGCCTTTGTGTATGATTCAACAAGTAGTAGAACAAGCATATGAGTCGATGTCTATCCATTCCTTTTACCCTTAAGGGGATAAAAGCGATATCTATGACCCGTCGATGATTTAGTAATGACACCCCGAAGATCTTGGCCAAGCCTGGACTGATTTGATTTGCTCAATTAGTTAGTTGTCATAAATCGGAAATCGGGAAACAACAAATGGGTAGAGAGAATGATTATAATCCATGTCTCAGTCCATATAATATCTTGAATGGAGGAATATATGATCCCTTATCTATTGGACACATCATTAATTTGTTCAGAGTTCGACAACAGCTTTTAAGAGATACGATTGCAGGTCAGGTTGGAGTTGTACTTGCAATAATAGTTGTTAGACTTATTCAAGTGGGAGACTGTTGGATTAGTGTCTAAATCCATAACTATTACTGGCATATACTTGACCCAACCCGACATAGTCCATTTAGGTTGCATGGCATCAGAACATTTGGGTAGACCTTTTGTGAGAAAAGGATATTTGTGACATATTAATATATTATCAGTTCTAATATATTACTATGAAATCATATTATTTAATTAGTATTGATCAAGAATTAATTTGGAATTAATTTAGTGATCAAAAGAAACTAATTAAATATATGGGGATTGATTGTGTAAATCATTCATTCTTATATATGTGGGCTTATGATCCATGATTCCTTATGTTGGGTTTAACCCATGTGTGACCCGTGGATACTCCATGGAGGTTAAAACCCATGGAGCATAAGGAATGGGTAAAGTCATGAGTTACATGGTGTAACCCTAATATCCACACTATATAAAGACCCCATTGGTTGGTGAAATTGGCACTAGTGTATACACAAGAGGGCAAGCCGATTTCTAGAGTCCATGTATCTATTCTCACAGTTATTCCAAATGTTGGTGATGTTGTGTGAACTATTTTAGGTGTCACACTTGGCGCACTAGGCTTTTGAGCTCTATTTAATCAAGCTACCTCAAAAAGGTATGTATTCTATCTAGTTTTGTTATACTAGTACTTATAATTGTATGCTAGTTAGGGTAATACCTTGGAAAGTTCAAGTTTGCATGTATAATAGAGAAAACATAGATCCAAAGAATTTAGGGTTGCATGTACACCATAGGAGTGTTAGAATGCTCAAACCACCTTCAAGGATCACATTTGGATCCACTGAATCTAATCTCACCCAATTTTCTTCTTATTATTTTTTTTAGAACGGCAACGATTTTATAAAAAACTAGCAAGAAGCTAGAAAAATCGAGTCATCACAACAAATTACAAGCTAAGAGAGGATTATGAAGCCAAGAGGTCCAACTAATTTTACCTTTTCTACACCTATTAGAAATCCAAAAAAAAAAAGATCTATTAATCATTTCATCTAAAATGAGAGATTTCCTAGGTTGAGCTTCTCCAAAAATTACAGAATTACGAAAATTCCATAAACACCATAAGATAGTCAAGATGAAAATGTCAAAGGTTTGTCATTGCGCTCTTTTTAAAGAAAGAGAACCATAACACAAAAGGATTTTATCAATAGAAACAAATGAGGAGTTTGGACACCCCACCAAACAGCAACACAAGTCCATATCTCAATTAACTGATTACAATAGAGAAAAAGGTGATCAATAAATTCAACTGTGTTGGAGAAAACGGGCAAAGAATCGAATCAATAGTAATCACGTCGAGAGAAAGTTTCTCTCTAGTAGGAATACTTCATAACTGTAATCTCCAAATAAAGATATTCACCTTGATAGGCGCCCAATTATTCCAACGAGTTTGAGGACCCCCTGAATGTAACATATGATTATCTAAAAAAGATCTGAGAGAAGCAATAGTAAAGGAATCCGAAACTTCAATTGCCCCCCCCCCCCCCCCCCCAAAACGATCTGGGGTGGAATGAAGAAGAACCCCCTGCATTAAGGTAGTGAAAGTAGTCTATTGAGACTCCTCAATACCCCCTCTATGATCCTGCCTAAGACAATCAGAATCCCATGCAAGATGCACTCTATCACGGACCGATATAGTTTTATGAAGATCAAGAGCATAAATCCTAAGAAAAGAAACAGCCTGGGTGTATCCCCTTCCACACATCATGCCAGAAAGAATTCATATTTCCATTACCAACTCTAATAGGACTAAAAGGCCTAAGATCAAGATGACGATTATTAAGCTGCACTAGAATCTGAATAACACCATTCCAAGGACCAATCGAGCCTTCTTCTCTGAGAGAGAGAACTGCAGCCACCATCCGGACCATAAAGATCTTTGACATTTTTAACCTATATTAGATCCAGATTATGAAAGAATCTCCAGCGCCATTATAGGGAGAGGGACTATTGAAAGAAAAAGATAGCCAACACCAAGACCCGCATCCTTTTTTTTTAGCTAAGACCCGATCCCAACGAACCCAGTTCATGCATCTCTCATCTAAGTCAGCATCCCAAAAGAACCTAGGTCGAAGAGACTCCAAGGTGTTCAGAACAGAGATTGGAACCATGAAGATAGACATCAAGTAACTACTAAGGCTTCCGAGAACCGATTTGAACAAAGAGAGGTGACCTCTAGATGAAAGGCATTTTGCTTTCCAACCCAAGAATTTTGAGCGAAAACGATCAGCAACTGGGGACCAATCAGAAATTCAAGACATATTCTGACCAACATGGACTCCAAGATGAATAAAAGGACAAGTATCAGGAGCACACCTAACCTGAGTAAAAGCAACTCCCACTCCAATCAACTTACTTTTTTGTAAATTGATTTTTAGACCCGAAGCAAAATAAAAACACCTCAAGATACCAATGATTCGATAAACATTTTATGGGTCCCAATTTGAAATCAGGAAAACAACATCAACATAAAACAAGTGTGAGATACCAATCCTACTAATAGAAATGCCACGAAACACGAAGCCCTTCAATAACCAGAATAAATAAAAAAGGGGACAAGGGTTCACCTTGTCACTGACCACATTAGATTTGAAATTTATCAGTGGGGGACCCATTAAGAAGAACATAGCCATCGAAACTTGGAGAAGCACCATGATCCTAGCACACCACAACTTAACAAAACCCATAATCTTCATAATCTCCAAAAAAATGCTCCCACGATACAGAATCAAAAGAGGATTATCCGTAGACTTACTCCAAGCAACCACCTCATTGAGAAGAAAAGGACCATCCAAGATTTGTCTACCTTTAACAAAAGCAGACTACTCCAGACTAATAATATAACCAATAACCTACGCTAACCTATTAACTAATAATTTACCAATAATTTTGTATTGGCACCCTATTTGACTAATAGGTCTAAAATCTCTAATATTCTTAGGGTCACAGACTTTAGGGATAATCGTAAATAAAGAAGCGTTGCAACCTTTAGGAACCAAATAGTGACTATGCAAATGTTGAATGAAAGCCACCAAATCATCAGAAATAAGATCCCAAAATCTTTTCAACAAACCAAAAGAGAAACCATCCAGCCCAGGAGCCCGATCTGAGCCATAATCCCAAGCAACCCTTTTAATATCATCACGAGTGAAAGGAGCTTGAAGAAAGAGAACTTGATCTTCTGTGAGAGTATGAAACATATTAGGATCAGTTGAAGTGCATCTTCCTTTTTTTTTCTTAAGAAATGATTTTTGTAATAATTATGGAACACCATTTCAACTCTCCCAGGATCATCCTCTCAAACACCATCAATCATGATACATCTTATATCAAGATAACGCCTCTTCAGATTAATAATTCCGTGGAAAAAAAACGGAGTTCTCATCCCCTTCAATGGCCCACTGAAGTTTTGCTTTCTGCGCCAACTCGACTCTAGAAAGATGATCTAATTTTGTCAATTTTTTAATAGTCGAAACTCCTTGTTCATGAAGATCAGCACTACCTCCATCAAGCATAAGAGAAGCATCAATCTCTTCAACTTTATCTTGGATAATTTTCCTTTTACTAATCAAACGATCTCGACTACTAGAGTTCCATAATCTTAGGTCAGATTTAAGAATTTGAAGCTTCTTCTTGAAAATAACCCAAGGATTATCAATCAAATTCCCAAAAACATTGGAGTTCCAATAATTATGAACCACTTTATGAAAACCATCTAGTTCAAACCAAGAATGAAAAATATGGAAAGGAGATGGACCATAATCCACACGATGCTCTAATAAAGAAATAGGATGATGATCTGGGATATTTTTTTCCAGAACCAAACCCATAATGTGAGGAAAACACAGCTTAAGACCTTCGGAGACCAAAACACAATCAAACTTGGAAAACTTAGATCCCCATCTATTAATCCACATATAACGAGGCTCACCCATAGGAATATCAAATAATTCATTCTGATCAATAAACTAATTAAAGGTTCTAGCTGGAATATGTTGGAACTAAGAAAGAAGCAATCAAGGTACACATTCTCCTCAGAAAGAAGCAATCAAGGTAGAGATTTCATCTCAAAGTTTTCTTTTACAATCTTCTCTTTTAGGGAGCATAGACGGAAATCAATAAAACATCCATTTTAGAGACAATCCAAATCCTCTCCACCGCCACATACCGACCATAGATTATTACTTTATTATGAATAAATATATTTAGGTCCCAGATAACCAGAATACCACTCGAAGAACCGTGAGAAGGAGAGAAAGAATGAGAAAACGCGAGGTTACCCAGAAAGAATGAACGAGAGAAGGGTCAATTAGCTGCTTTTTTGTTCCTTGAATAGCCAAAAAGTTAACTTTAAATTTAACACAAAGAGATTTTATCCACTCCTGTTTCTCTAAAGAACCCGCTCCATGAATGTTAATATATAGACAATTCATATGTAAATTTTTTTAAATCGCTTAAATCGCTCCTCTTGAATAGTACTTTTAACATGTTCAGAACAACTATTCATATTAAGACCAATATTTTCTCCCATTGTAGTTGTTCTTTTGGATTTAAACACAACTAAGTCGGAGTTGAAAGACCCTTATGAGAACACATCATTCTCTCCATGAATCATATTTGAGAAACTAAGTGGATGAGATAAAGAATCATTCGTAGAAGGAATGCCCGACATGCGGATATATCCACATGATAAACCAACCGGAGCTTGTTTATTTGAAGTATTTGTACCATTTTTTAGAGACCCAGAATTAGCAATGTGAACTGAAGAGTTCTCCGAATTCACAACAGGAATTGTTGTTAGATTGGGTGAAGCAGCAGGGGCTGCTTGCCATTCTTCAGTTGCAGCGAGGGGAACAACAACATAGACCTGAACAGTTGCAGCGACAGTTGGGAGGTTGACAGCTGGTCCAGGGGTAGCAGAGGAATTTGCTTGTGAAGCAGAAGGTGAACTTAAATCACGACAGTCAGCAAGAGAACAGTAAAGAACATTTTCTGATGCTGAATTCCCATGTGCCCTGAAGCCCTTCTCTATTATTTTTATTCTTTTTTCGATTACCCCAACTATTACATCCTTTTTTAATATCATTTTTGACCTCATCCGCTTTCATTTTTTTCAATTGCATCATAAATACCAAACGGGTCCGATGAAACCTCTTCATTCCTTTCAAAATAATGAGAATGTTCTTCATTTTGTTCACTGCCTTGTAGTTCACTGTCGTCCAGTTCAGGAGGAGGAAAATCATGAACAAAGGAGGGAGTCCATCTGGAGCTTCTTTTACTCTAATACAGTATGTAGCCTCATCGGCACTGACTTTGATTACCTCATAGTTTGAATAGAAGTTACTATGTAGATTCTATTCTTGTAAATATCTTCTCCAAGATTATCACGTAACTGAGCAATGATTCCCAATCTAGAGTTAATTTTTCTAAATGACTCTTTACTCCAAGCGAAAAGAGGTAATCTTTCAACATTAACCCACACTATATGTTCTGAAGGAACAAAGGTTCGATCCCATGCTCTCTTTTATGAAATCCAATTATCTATTGCTTTACTGCACATAATGTTTTTCATGAATTATTGGAAGTAAATTCAATCAACACCTACAAACCTCCAACGTATCTTATTTCAGAATTATCAAATCCCTCATCCAATGATCTATTGCTTTACTACACATAATGGTTGATACGATGAACCCTACAATTTCCATGCACGTTCCTATTCCTATGACTGACCATCGTCCGAGAGTTATCTCGTATCGTATGGAAGACGTGAGATCCATTTTTTTTTTTTATTGATATGTTTGGATTTGAATCCATTTCCTTTATGAATTCAACAGAATTTGTTTCTTGGATATAACTTTTTTTATTGCTCCATTTTCGTCCAAACATATTTATTTTTTAAAAATCATTTTGTTCAATTAATTTTATCTTAAACCATTTCATTTTTATTTTAAACCAATTAATTCATTTTTTTTCTAAAACCAATTATTCCTAATACCAGTTATTCTTTTTATTAAAACAAATTATTTTTTAATATCAATTTTAGCCATATGGTTTAGGGTTTCATTCTTCTTGCTGATTTTGAGTGAAAGAAATTTATTTCATAGATTATTATTTTTGTGCTCTTCATCTTTTTGAGTAACTCGAATTTATAGCCTCTGATTTATATGCTTAAGATATTCAAATCCACAAAATGAACAAATTTTCATTTGGAAACTTGTCTGATCCGCAACGAGAACTTGCATAATAACCGTCCGGTCGACATGCACTAATATAAAATCCAAATGAACACTTAAAACTAGCTAAATACCTCGACGGATTGTCCAATATTTTTTTTTTCGCATAGTGTACGTGTTTAATTTCATCATTTTAAACATGAAAATTTAGTAAGAAATATTTATTTAAACCAACTGATTATGTGACCATTGTTAGATGTAGGAAAAGGATTCAAACCATGGAGTATATTGTATCCATTATTTTATGCATTCGAAGTTATATATTATATTTGATGATTACTGTTCGTTTGTAGTTATTATTTTTTGGACATTATTTATTCAGAAATATTAGGAGAAAATTGGCATTGTTATTTGTATTTGTAATTTATTCATATTAACTTAAACATTCTATCTCGTATAATTTTTCCTATTTTTGCTTTTTGTTTTGGTTGTCATAAAGTATCAACGTAGAAATAAAGTTTTGTAGATGAATTGAATAAAATTAAATTTATATTTAACAAAATTGGAAATAGACTCAAATTTAGTATATTTTTTAATATTTCGCATTGACCTCACAGTAATTTATTGTTGCTTTTGTTTTAGAAAATAGCATCCTATTTTCACTTGTTTGCTATAATATGTAATAACAACAATTTCCTTCATGTTGCTTTTGAAATTGCCATTATTAATTATTCAAGGTAAAATAACAAAAAAAAAAGTAAATAAATAAAATAGCAACCTAGTTTCAATTATTTATATCTTATAACATCATACTTCGATTTCTTTCTATTTTTACCCATCTTTGTATGTATATAATGGAGTTAATGTTCCATAGACAACTAAATTGAATATTTTGAGACATAAAACTTTTTTTTCCCATTGTTGTACGTTAATAGTCTCGAATGTCATAACTAAATTGATATAACTTTAAGAATATTAACAAAATCCTTTCTGGATTACCCTCAAGAGCTTAAATAACAAGAAAGGATTTAAAGAGTGAAAAAATAATCTATTAATTTATTACAAGTTAATAACTTAATTAAAAACTAGATAAAATTAATTTCAAATTAATAAGAATTAATTGGAATTAATCAGGAATTGATTAAACATGTAGGGACTAAATGTTAATTGTTCAATAGCTGAACAAAAAGAACATTCTAAAAACCATAAAAGGGGTGTGTGGTTTTGGGGGCTCTAGAGCCATCTAGGATTGTTCTAGTTATTAGTTATGGAAAGTATATGAATTTGGATTAAATATTATTATTTAATTGATTCAAATTAGCTTTATCTGCAAGCTACCTTGTAACATACTGATTTTTACCACAAAATTTTCATTTTTGAATATAGGAAACATCAAATATTATAGAACCAAGTCATAAAAATCTGAGGTGAATCAAATACAATCATCACAAATAAGAGTATCAAAAAGCAGAAAAATCATAAAATCCGGAGTATTTGAAAACATATTTAATCCATAAATATAAGCATGAAGCTTAGTGAGTTCCAAAATTATTACATAAATCTCAATAAAATGAACAATTATGGCTTATCAGCAACCATGTGCATTACCAAGATATTTCAGGAGTTATCAGCAACCATGAGGACTATTAGTAGTCTTGTAGACTACTAACTGTCTAGGAAATATTAGCAACATAGTTTCACAAATAACAACAATCAACAAGTAATACCCATCTGGTTAACATGCATACCCTACTACACAAGTAATATAATGAGAAGACACACCTCAAAGATAGCAACTAAATCAATACAACTTTCAGATAGTGGAACTGGTACTACGAACACCTAATAGCAATAAAAGTACCCACTCAGTCTACACCCAAATCCTCTAAATTGACCAAAAGTCAACTATAATCAATAGTCAATGCTCAAAGTCAACTTTGTAAGCCTCTATGGCATGGCCATCTATAGGCCACATCGTGGGCACTCCAACGTAAAACATTCGGCTATCAGTCAAATCCCATGTTGTGGCCACCATTGGCTATGTCATGCAATCGTCTAAAGGGAAAGGTCGTGAAAACACTAGTTTCAACACTATGGCAATTGGTAGCCACTCCATGGGAACTAGGCATCATCAAATTAATGGATTAAGTTGTTATACCTCAATACCAATAACTCTAACACTCATATATGAATCTTTGTATGGTCTTGATGGATAAAGTTTTCAAGTTTATCCATTAGGACATTCTATTAAGTCAAGATTTCAAATTCTAAGTTCTTAATGACCACACCAAGGCATGCGTTCACTCAATAATCCATACAAGCCAATTTTCCAACCAACCCCAGGGTCTATAAGCTAACAAATGTAATCAAAGGTTCTAGAGTTAGCTCAAACTACAAAAACAAGATTATATGGGGCTAAAAGTTCATAGAATAACCTAGAGCTAGATCTTGAGAATAAACGATCAAGGTAGAAACCTTATGCTTCCAATGATGCAGAAAATTGATGTATATGAGAGATCTAGGCTGGAACCACACTCACAAGCAACACCAAAAACTCCTTCTTCTATCAACCTTCATAAAAATGGACTTCAAGCTCCCAAAACACAAAAGGATGTTACAGTTTGGATGGGGGTTCGTTTTTTAGAGGGTAGTGGATTCCAAATGAGGCAACCCTAGGACTTAGTGTCCTTACAAGGCACCAACCCCGAGATTAGGTTTTTAGCCAAAAACGGATACCACGTCATGGCCACATAACGATGTGACATGGACAAATACAGATGCACACTTTTCATTAATTGAGTACCAAGCCATGACACTTTGTAAGTTCCTAATTTGCCTGTGTATCAATCAGATCCGTTTGATGGTGTAGAATCCCAATCAAACGGATGATGTCAGATCAAAATAGAAGAGAGGAGAAGAAGAATAATATGAATCTTGTATGTATTGATATTAATTGAGATCCAGATACAAGATTCACACACACTAACACACACTCTCTGTTCTCTCTCTCTAGGCCGTACACTCCTTTTTCTGTTCATCAATCTCCACTCCTCACCCCTAACACCTATATATATATATATATATATATATATATATATATATATATATATATATATATACACACACACACACACACACACAATGGAATATGGGCTAACTAAACATGGGCCGTAAATGGGTTTACGACCGTAAACTTGTTTATGGCCGTAAACACTGACCATAAACCACACCTGACTGTAAACTAGACTGTAAGCTCATAAAATATTAAATTAAAATATAATTTCCTAGAAAAGCAAAGTATAAACCATATTTTGATCCAACAATCTCCCCCTTGGTTTATAGCTTTCTTTTCTTAATTAACCCAACAAGCTCCCCTTAAAAAGTAGTTGGCTTTTCTTGTCAATCTTCATCGAGAGCTTGGCTTCAGCATTTATCTTCAATGAATGACTTCATCTTGAGCACTTGGGCAATTCTTCAAGAGTTAGAATTGAACGCACATTGGGTGAGGATGCTTGATGTACTGATTCTTGAAAGATGACGCTTTCAGCTTGAGAATCCTCAGAGAGAAATAATTTATGGATCACTTCAGCAGGTTCATAGATAGCAGCAAATTGATTGAGGAGGATTCAATGCAATCTCGTCACATAATCTTCAATTTCAGCTTCACCTTTCTTCTGGGGTTGAATGATTGAATGTAGGAAGAATAATCTTCATTTCTTGCTCCTTCGAATGAGAATTCTTCGATGCTCACGGATGAAGCCTTGGCTCAGAAATCTTTAACACAAACTCCATGATTCTTATCTATACCTAAAATCACTTTTCAAAACAAAACAAAAATACAAGAAAACTTAAAACAAAAACAAAACAAAAATAACACTATTTTTGGATTTTTAATTTTCTGGTTTTTCTT